CCGGGGAGGGCGTCCCGCGGACCCTTGTCTCGGCCTCCGCGCCGGGAGCCTCCGTGCGCGCTCGTCCCGCGGGGCTGGGCCTGCGAGCCCCGCTCCCCTCCCCTCCCCTCCCCGCCCGCGCGCGCGCCCCGGAGCTGAGGCAGTGTCCGATGAGAGCGGAAACGTCGCGGCCCCGCTCCGGGTCCGGCCGGAGCCGCGTTTCCGAAGTGCCTCCCGCGGGCTGCAGCTTTGTCAGCCTCTCCCCTCCCCGCGGTCACGTTTCACAGCCCCGTGTGGGAGGCCCGTGTTTGCCCTCAAGTTACAGGTTTACTTTGTTCCTTTCTTTTTCTGGTAAAGGCTGAAGTTCAGCTTGAGGCATGCTTTAATAACACGCTGTTGGAAGAGGTGATCTTTTAGGCCCAAGTGACTTTACTTTGGCACTGAAGATCAGACGCCTTCTCTTGCGCTTTCCCGTTTCATGGCCGCGGGTCTCCTCCGCAGGATCCTAGCTGCCATCTTTGACAGAAACATTTTCCACCACGTTGTTTTTCTGTGGGAAATGTTCCCTGTCTAAAAATTAATTGTTTAATCAAATTCACTAGTAACAATGAATGGATACCAGTACAATATGTGGCCAGTGCAACTTTGGGTGCCTGCCACCCTCGGGGCAGAGACAAGCAGCCAGCAGGTGCCTCATGGCGGCATCCGTTTTGAGCACCAGGTCTGTAAAGGCTGCAGTTCGGTGCTGCCAGCCCAGGCAGAAACACGGCCTGGCTGAGCCGTACGGGATTCATAGACTCTTAGGGGCTGGAAGGGACCTGGTAGATAATCGGGCCCAGTCCCTCTGCACTAGGCAGGAAAAGACAACTGGAGTCCCCAGCTAGGTGACTGTTCGGTCTCCTTTTGAAGCTTTTCAGGGTAGATGACCGCACCACCACTGAAGGGATTTTATTCCACAGTCTGGACACCCTGACTGTGAAGGAGTTTTTCCTGGAATTGAACCTGAAATAACCTTCCAGGAGTTTGTATCCATTGCTCCTGATCTTCCCCAGGGGTTTCATAGTTTCCTAGTTGGTAGGGTCGGAAGGGACCTGAGCAGATCATCAAGTCTGACCCCCTGCCATGGCAGGAAAGAGTACTGGGGTCAAACAACCCTGGCAAGGTGTTCATCCAACCTCCTCTTAAAGACCCTCAGGATAGGAGCCAGCACCACTTCTCTTGGAAGCTGGGATATCCTGAGGTAAGACCAGAAGGCCCTTGGTCCTGGGCATGACCTAAAACTGCACCTGGCCAGGGACGGGTGGCCTGGTGGGGCTCCTAGTGGTATGGGAGCCCCCAGGAAATGCCAAGCCACTTACCACCCCCATGAGAGGCAGGTCAGGGCACCTTAACCCCAGCTCCCACAGCCGCGTGGGTAACCCCATAGCAGGGCCTGAGAAGGTGGACCCGTGTTGGAGAGTGTGGGCTAGTTGCTCAGAAGCCTGACTTGAGACATCCTCGGCTGGTCAGTGCTGGGGCCAGAAGGGGCAGGGGGCACCACGAGGGACGTCCAGAACCGAGGGCCTGGGGTTCTGACTGGCCTTGGAGGTGAGGCCAGGGCCTGTGTGGCCAAAAGCCCTGGGGGGGCCACACCCAAGACAAGGAAGAGTGCAGGGAACTAGGCAGCCCAGAATGAGGCCGCCTGATGGGAAGGGATCTAGTTGGGGTCCAGACTCGAGGGTTATAGGGCCCAGTGTAGGGCTGGAGACTAAGAACAGAGATGCCATCTATGAGGCATGGGTTGTGGTATAGGGATGGTTTGGAGCTGCAAAGTCGTGTCAGGCGAGACTGGGCAGACTGCCCCATAGACAGGAAGGCAGGCCGGCATATTAGGCAAGCTTGGCAGTTTCAAAGTTGTGATTTAATGTTTTTCAGGTGGTTATCCCTAGGAAGGGTGTGAGAGAGTACATATGTTTTATTGATTTGTAAACAGGAGGGTAAATACACTCACCTAATAATCCAAGCCAAAAATCAAGTTATGAATTCACCTAATTGGCTATGCCGGTCAAATCAAAACCAAAGCACAGCACATCATGCACAGTTCTTTGGGTGTCCTAAAATTAGTATGTCAACAGTTTTCAGTGCCTGTGTGTTGTTTTTTTTCCTTAAATTTAAACAAACAATGCAAGGGAAGTACATGCTCTTGTGTATTGTCTTTACATTTTTACAACTATTCCAATAAAAATAACTTCTTTCCACATAGAGTTTTGAATTTTTTTAATATAATGTTTAAACCACATTAAGTGTGCTGTATGTAATTTTTTTCCTAATCAAATATTTCAGTTCAAATACTTGTGGCTTTTGGGACATAAAATTAACATGGGGGTACTTTTTTAGTTTTGTTTACTAAATAGAAGTCGAATAAACATGCTAAATCAGATCAGGCTTTATTTAGGGCATTGGAACAATTTCCAATTCCAAATTTTCCAAAAACCCCACATCTCTGGGCTATGATTATACTTTTTTCATTGAAACACTGCCTGGTGGCCTTTTTTCCCATCTCATTGTTATAGATCCACTTCTCCACCTGTTATTTCAGAATAATATTTTTGTGCACTTTGCTTTTATACTGTTATGGGCAAAATGGATCTCTCTAGACTTTGGAATTGTTTGATCCGTTTTCCTGTCCTGCCTGCCCAGGAGAGCTGGTGTTTCAGAATCCCCAATGCCTTGAACAGTTGCACTGGTGCTTTAGGGAAGTTTCCAACCCCTTCTGTGTTTCAGGTAGCAGCTGCCTTTGCCAAATGAGGTGCATGTTATTAAAATGCCCTAAAAAGATGCTGTAAGGAAGTTCAAAATTTGATCATATTTCTGTCAGCATATTTAGCAAAGGCTTGGAAATGACAGGAGAGAGGGCTTTCAAACATTTTATTTACCTAAACCTTAGGTGACTGAATTTAGGATGACCGCCCCCCCCCCAGTAATTAGTTTCTATATATAGAAAATTTATAATTTGTTTTAATTTTCCATGTATAGAAACTAATGATCAGAGGACCACCTTAAATTTTTCCCTGCCACTGCTGCTGCAGGGGAGCAGATGGCCCCCTTGGCCCCCCACCACTTGTCCCACCTGCTGCCTGTTTCCTAACCTCCCCCCTGCAACTTCAACTCCAACTCCATTTCCTCTAGGGCATGGAGCAATGTGGAAGCTCCAGCTCTTATGTGGCCACACAGCAGCACCCCGGGCCAGAGCTACCACTGCTGGCACTGACCGCATGGCCAGGATGAGCCAGAGCTTCCACGTGCTCTTCCTGGAAGAGAATATGACCAGAGCCACTCCTGACATCAAGCAGGAGCAGGAGGAAGGGGGTAGAGGCGGAGCTGGGGTCTGGCAGCTGCTGCAGCTCTGACTGGCCCTGACCTAGACTTCTGGCCAGAGTCAGAGCCGCAGCAGCTGCCTGTCCACCCTTTACTCTGTACTTGAATCTAAAACGTGGGACTTTTCTCCCCATTTTGAATGGGGCAAAAGACTTTGTCTTGGATTCCAGTAAATATGGCACATAGGACTTGGGAAAAATAAAGGTGATTGTACAAGTGATGATAGGAGTATGTGGTGCCTATGGCGTAGGGAGATAGGTTCTCAGGAGCTGGTTATTTTTGTTAGTATCTTGCAGTTTAGTAATGCAAGTGACCTAGGTGCAAAGTTCTGCTGGTAATTCCCTTGGGGAGAGAAATCTGATGGTGATTTTTAAAACAAGTTCCCAGAAAACAATTTCAACAGATGTTTTGAAACTGCAGTAGAGATCACAAAACAGTTTACCTTGGCCATAGAGCAGAAGTTTCTTGGTTTATTCTCTGGAGGTCTCTAAGGAAGAGAGAAACTAAAGACTGCATTAAAATGTATCAGCTTTTACAAATAATAATGGCCACATTTTTAAAGTCATAATTATTGAGAAATTTTAGCATTAGAAAGATATTGTAAATATAAAGAATTTTCATTAAATCTCTCTCTTTTTTTAAAGCAAGCCAGTTTAGGACTAAAAATGTTCTCTTGGAGGTAACTATAAAACAAGTATTTACAAGGTAATACATTTTTTTCCTTTACCACCCTGTGATGTATAAAGATTGTCTTGGCTTGAAAATTCCATCTCCTTTCCTCTTGCTTGCTTTTGTAAAAATGCCATTTCCACTTCTCTCCCTGTATGAAGCAGTCTCTTCTGTATTCTTAGATATGGGGGGAAACTACAGTTTAAGCAATGTGGCATCTGGTTGTAAGGTTAATTTTTTTCAAAAACTTTGCTAAGGGAAAAGAAATGCAAACCTGATTATTTTTCATAGTATTCCATATTTGAAAACAGACAGACAGGGAGATTTACATTTTAAATACTTGATTACAAAACATTGTAAACATATGAGTAAGAATACTTTGTTTTGCTTGGTAGTTAATACATACTAACAGACAGCACTTGGAACAGTGTACTTCAGGAGTTCTCTTTTTTGGGAAGAAGCTGTGTCAATGTCCTTTGACAGTTTGTCAACAAGCATGGACATTTCTTGGGTCTCTTCTGTTTGCATTATTATACTGTATTCATCATCATCTTGGTATAAAAGTGCTTTGATTCTACTTAGGTGGCATAGTAGCTGCATAGGTACTAGGGGTGCACCAATAGAGGTTTTTGGGGCCAATACCAATAGCTGATTTTTAAGGAGGCATATCGGCCGATACCAACCTGATTTCCAATACCAGCCCAGCAGCTTGAAGAACAGTGTCCGGCTGGTAAGTCTACTATGGTGGAATGGAAGGAAAGGGATGTGGGGGGTGCAGATCAAGGCCCCTGCAGTGAGGGAGGAGTGGGGCTGGGGCAGGGGCTAGGGCAAGTGCTGCCCAACTGGGGAGAGGTAGGCGCAGGACAGATCTGCAGCTTATCTGGAGAGGGTGGGAGGGCTTGTCCAGGAGCTGCTCATCTGGCGGCTTATCTGGCAGTTTCTGCCGTTGCTCCCGTTGCAGGAGCTGCTGCTCCTGCTGCTCATTCGGGGGAACATATGCCCCTGGATCTGCATGGGACAGGGCAGGCTGGGGCCAGGACCATGCCGAGGTCTTCCCAGCTGGATGGCAGCTGGGCCAGGCTGCGCTGGGAGGGGGAGCTGGGGGGGGCTGTTGTGAATTTTGGGGTGGCTGCAGCCCCCCACATAGCCCCCTCCCATTGCCGCAGCCACCGCCCTGAGCGCAGCCCAGCCCAGCCCCTGCTGGGATAGAGCCCGCCCCATGCGGATCCAGCAGCACCCCTCCATGCAAGCAGCAGAAGC